GATCGTTCTCACGGCCGGGAGGGTGGTGGTCACAGCGGCGGCGGCGGCGACGGCGGCGGCGGCAGCAGCAGCGGCAAGCTGCTGGCGGCCGCCGCCACCTTGCAAGGTCGCACGACTCGCCGCGGAAGCTCGGCGGGAGCCTCCTCGTTGGCGTTTTCTGCCTCCGCGTCGCTGTCCGAGGGCAGCGAGAAACCGGTGGGCTCAGACGACACCCCCAGCATCGACAGCCTGCGCGGGTTATACGTCAAGTCTCGGTCCGACCCTGAAGGCCTAGCACATAGTAACAAGAGAGGATTTGGCGGCAGCGGCGGCGGCCGAGAACCAGGAACAGTTAAGCTGCTTGGTAGGAGCCACAGCACAGCAGCAGCGTGGACGGGACAGTTCACGGGCGCTGCGTCCCGTGCGGGACAGACGCACTCTAATGTCAACCGCTTGTATCGCGGAGGGACCGGCAACTGGAGCAGCGAAGGGGTCCCGCGCGATGGAATCGTGGAGGACAGCCCCGCGGCGGCCCCGGCGAGACCTGGCGACGCTGCCGTCGACTCCGCCACGGACCCCCACCGACCACAACAAGCCGCCGACGCCGGTGCCACGGATCCGCAGAGCGAGGCGAGCGTCGTTCCAAAGCGGGATGTGACCGCGCAACAGCTCGGGCTCCGGCTGGCGGCGCTCGCCGCCGCGGCCGGCGCCGGGCCGTTGGTGAGCGACAACGCCGAGAGCGGCGGCGGCGGCGGCGGCTATGGCGACCTGGAGGTGGGCGTAGAGGGGCTGGACGTGCTCTCGTCCTGGTCCACGGACGAGAGTCCGGATTGGGTGCGATTCTCCGACTGGATCAGGAACGGGTCCGGGCCGGCGGAGGGGGAGGGGGAGGGAGCAGAAGGCGGGGGCGGCGCAAGCTGGACGTGGGACGTTAACAGGGGTTTGAGTGTTTCTGACGGGGGATCCCCGGAGACGGGGCGGCGGGGGCGGAGCTGGGGCTCTGGCGGGAGCAGCTGGAGCAAGCACTCGGGACAAGAGGTTTAGGGGTCGGGAAGGGGCGGACGACGTCGTAGCGCCGGACATGCGTCGTAGACCGGTGATTGCCAGTTGAATTTTCTGCGGGTGTCAGGAGCCCCATCGCTTTGATCGGGTTATTGGCAAGGCGTTTTCGATTTCAGATACGTAGTGCGAATATTGGTAGAATAGTTTGGGGGGGCTTACGGTAGTACGACGTACATGCGGCTGCACATGATTGTAACACGTTTGCAAGATGTCAACTTGTAAGTATTTCCACACTTGAATTGCCCGAAGATTGTTGAGTGTACGGTGGCTGTACTCTAGGATAGTTTTTTTTAGCTCTGACACCGTCTATTCTGTGAAGTCCTTGCTGTTTATATGTGGATGGATGGATGTAGTCGCTGCCAAGGGGGCTAAAGCAAGCCAGAAACGCTTTGCAGTCCAACTGACGCCCTTGTGAATAGATGGTAGAGTTAGCATTCGAGAGTTTCACACTGTCCGGAGCACGTTTATTTTTTTTAATACGCTGCGAGCCCGCCGATTAGTATCAGCAGCAGCGCTACCGTCGCCGCATTAGCACCCGTGCCGACCATGCACACAGATGTAGGGCTTTTGGTTTTGCTGTAGGTGACGTTTGTTGTGAGTTCGCCCGCTTGGTTCCGCGGTTTTTGTATGCCCCCCCCCACATCACCAGGAACTTTTTTTGGGGTATTGCAGGTATGTGTATTCGATTATTTGCCGATACAAATATTAAGCGGGACACGCAAAACGAGGGCACTGCTGTTCGTCTGGTAGGGTGGCGGTGGCGAGCCTGCCCTTGCTTCCTGTCTTCCCTGAAAAGAACCATTTAGAGCCCTGCAGGAGCTCTGTTCTCCGTGAACGAGAGGAAACGCGGTCCCGCCGCGTGCTTCCCCATGGAAGCCTTGGCAAGGGGATGGATGGCGGGGCGATTGAGAGCAAGGAAAAATTCCACATTCGCTCGCGATATTCCCCTTCAACACCTATGTGTGGTTTTATCGCGAACGAGTGGTCTGTCTTTGATTGCGTGTATGTTTCCTGAAATTCCTCTCCGTCGAGTGATTTTTGTTGTGAGGGAGGGATGTTTCTTGTCTATGGGTCGAATTGCGACTGCGCGGCGGCTGACTGTCTCTCCCTCAAAGTATTACGCGTGGTAGCATATGGAATCTATGGGTGCGGAGATGCAATGACGATTGAGACGAGGAATACGCGTAGAGACTGTATGGAAAATGCTTGTTGTTTCGGTGAGGCCGGCGGATTGCCTCCCGGAAGCGGGAGGAGCCACCTGCAAAGAGCGCTGCTACTACTATAGTCAACTCCTGTAGCTGGAACGTGCTGTGCTACTCTTGCTCTCTTTTCAGCGCGAGGTCCGGCTGGCACAGGAGTCAAATATATCTTCGTTGGATGTGTCTTGATATTTCGGGATCAGGATGCTTTCTCTCGGTGTCTTTCAGATCGGATTGTACGCCGTCGGCTCATTGCGGCGCAACCTACGCACAGTTTCTCGTGCTCTCACACTCTCAACAACACTGCACACCATTCTCAACACACTCAGACCTCCTCCAAGTACCCTCGATGTAGCACCCAAAGCAGTTCCCCACTACCTGGTAATCTTGTCGGTCCCTCGCTCGCTCCAAAGGCGCGCTGGGAGGGTGGGCTTCTCTGCTTCTCTGCACCGCCCTGGGTGCTGGGATAGGGGAGACCCAACTCCGGAAAAAGGGAAGCGACGGATATATAATCAATCGAAATCTCGGGGACGGAAATGAATCCATCTCCCCAAGTTGATCTCCCCGTTATTTATATCGTAGACTAATCTTCGTACGGCAGATCAACAGTTAATATAATTCAAAACTTCATTTAATAAGCCCACGCGTGGATCCTGGGCTATCCGCGTATTTTGCGTACGCACGCGGCTGCGATAGATAGCACATGTACCCGCCAAGGAAGACATTCACATCCTGAAACACTTTCATAAATGTAGCAACAGGTTATCGGCATTAGACGCCGCCCTGCCTGGTTTGGGGCAATGCCAGTGGGCGCTGCTTCGGGAAAAGCCAGACGTTCATGCGCAATTCTCCCCCAAAAAGTCTCCTCGAACCATCGACGTGTAAGCCGATGGCTTCGTTATTCTGCATGTACAACGGCTGTAACGGCACCAAGGTGTGACCCCAAGATTGTTAAGTCGTATCTTCTTGCCCACATGGCGCCACGCTGTCCTTACTCTGAGGCGTACGAACACCTCCTCTTCTCAAGCGGAAATGCGATCATGTTAAGTGAACAATGTCTATTTGCGCATGCACACACATGGACGGCTCTTCCAAGACACCCACACGTGCGACAACTCCGATTGCTGTTTTCGTCATGAGCCAACTACACGGCGGCTTACAGTGCCATACAGGTACGCCAGTAATGCGATGGTACTATAGTAGTATACTGAGCATGACACCAGCAGATTGTTGGCACAGCATACAGCTGGCGGCTTGCCGATAAATCTTCAGGTCCATGCACACATGACGAACCCCCACACGAGCGTGCCGGCACTTGGTCGAAACGTCCAACATCGTAGCAAGCGGAGTTGTTGCCGTGTGCACCAATAAAGTGAAACCCAAAGCCATCAGATCCTACCTAGCTCATGGGTGGCAAAAAACATGCCATCCTTGTATCATAACGTTCTCGCAGCGTGCCATCAGTGTATCAAAACGCTCTCACGGCGTTTCACACGTGATCGTCACCGGCATCATTCATCTACCGCCGCCGCCGCCGTCGCCGGCTGAAGCTTGGGCGGTTAACTTCAAATCCCTCTGGAGGCGGTTGATGAGCCGCAGGTGCGGCAGAGGGCCCACGCAAGAGTTCGCGACGTTTGCCCCAGAGACGGCGACGGCCGGCACCCCGACCCCGGGAAACACGCAGTCCCCGCAGGAGTAAAAGTTATCTAGGGGTATGTCGACAGGGTTTGGGAAAGCGCTGGCGCCGTCCTCGAACCCTGGGCCGTAGGTGCCATAGCTGTAGGCGTCGCGGTACCCATGTGAATGTTTTGAAGGAGCGGGCGAAGACGGAAAGACGCGCGCCAGAGGGGTAGGAGGTGAGAGTGAATCGTGCCGAAGACGAATACGCAGAGGAGCAAGACGCCCGGGCCACTAATACCAACATCCTTTGATCCTTAACAAGACGAGCGTGACAAAAAAAAAGGGGGGGGGGGGGGGGGGGAGCATAAGACAACCGAGCCAACATACGAAACAACACAGAGGAACGAAACATTGAGATACAGCCACCACTCCTTCCCGACCTTCGCCTATTGAAGCGCTCGTGGGTGAGGGGGGATCCGACGAGGACAGTCTTGGCCAGCTTCCGAGCATCCGGAACCACGCGCTCCACCGCCTGAGAGTCGTACACCCCCCCACACACACACAAGGAAGAGGAAGGAGACGGACGCCTCCTGCTATAAGAACGCCGCCGGGTGCGACACGGCAAGACGCCGCTGCGAAACCACGTTTTTGAACAGTTGTGGTGGCAGTAGTTGCGGAGATATGTAATAGCAGTAGCGGGACACCCAACAGTGGCAGTCTCCGGCGTTTCTTCCTTCAATGCCCTCGCTTTCACCACCAGCGATTGGCGTACCGACGGAACTTGGTGAAATCAAACAAATGCTGTGAGCACTGATTTGAAGTGAAGACAAAAAATAAAACAAAAAAACGAGCGGTTCCGAAAAGCAGCAATGACAGCTCAGACACCGGTCATGAAACAACTTCTTGCCAAGACAAAAATACGCCGACAGTGGTCAACCCGCGTTTTTATACCACGCCGGACGTGACTCTTCACCAACGGAATGGCAAGGAAAGCAGGAGCGCTACTCAATTTCGGCATTCCCTCGACATGCGGCAAAACCTTCTCGATTGATTTTGAACACATCGGAAGCGGGACAGGGAACGGATACGAAGGTAGCGGCGGATGCACACCGGCGAAGAGACCGAGCACCAGACATGACGAGCAAAAACAATAAAAAAAAAAAAAGAAAGAGAAGAAACGCCCCTCCCCATCCCGAACCTCCCAGAGAGCTTCCGCCCTCTCCTCCTTCAGGTCCTTGTATTCCTTGCTCCGTCGGTCTAGGCCTTCCCACAGCTCGTACGGCTCGTTCGCTGCCAAAAAAGACGCCAACGAGAGAGCGACCAACACGGCACAAGACGTGAGAAAACGTCGCTGTTCCTGTTTCCGGGCCAATTTTTGTGTATTTTTTTCGTTCTAGAAAGGCTTGCCCCTCTTTGGGTGGTTGGCTTCGTGACCACGGAAGGCGTCCGCGTTAGCTGTGCCAGCACCGATATCATACGGTACCGAGCGGAGACCGGAACGGTTTTCAACGTGAAGACAACAACAAGAATAGCAGGGAGGGGGGGGGGAAGAGGTGTGTCTGTGTGACGGTCGAGTGGCGGCGGGCACGCGACTTGCTGCCTGTCGCAACACCACCTCCCTCCTCGTGTAACGGCATGGACATCATGTTGTGACTCACGGGGCGCAAGATCAGCGCTCACAGAAGCACCTGTGCCATTTTCTCCAACCCGTCTGTGGCACACACAGAAGGGTTCCTCCCTACCCACCTCTCCTGCGTAGAATACTTTCTTCGATTTATAATGCGACAAGGGTGCGGCACTCTCTTCCCTCTGTGTACACACGAGCTAGCGCTTTCCACCCGGGCCAGAAACGGAAGCGAAAGAAAAACTCTCTGTGCAAGAAAAGCTCGCTTACGTCGGGATTCGAACCCCTGACCCTGACCACATCAAGGTTTCGAGGATACCCAATGTGTAGACTACCAGAGCGACCGTTTTTTTCATTGGTCAACAGCTTGCGAATCGGCACACCTCGAAACGCACAAAAGAAAGCAGTTCTGCGAGACTGGTGTAGGAGGCGGGGTGCGATCGACACGCTGCTGCTGACCTCGGCGATGAAGCCCCAACAAACACCAGACAGGCACGGCTACAAAAAAGGGTGAAGCGAAAAGGAAAATCCGAGCACACACCCCACGTGGCGTCCGACAATGTTCGACGGAGACTCTCTGGATCAGAGATGCACATAACCTAGATAGGCAGCTGCTCGCGCGTTTGAGGTTGGAAAGCGTCGGCTTGGCCCGACCTGTCTCGCCTACACCCAACGGGGAAGCGCAGCTTTGACAAAACCCTGAACAAACTCGGCTCAGCGTTGACACATCATCACCGCGCCGCACACGATCACGATTCGTGCAGGAATGATGTGGACACAGGTGGGACCTACCCGCACCGATTCGCGTCTGTTTGACTTCGTCTCGGCAGCATGCTGTGAGGGGATCAAAGATTAACCTCATGTTGGGAGAGCGGTACGCTCCTGTACGAGCTTCAAGATGCTTATGGTATCTATGGAGACTAGTTCGGTACCTCAACGGGTCAGAAACGGAACGGAAAATATGACAAGAGCGTGAAACGGTTAGTGTTTGGTCCGAAATTTGATGATGAAAACCAGTGAACGATAATCACATCAACGACAAACAACAACAGCGCTACTGTAGCAGTATCGACAAAATGTTATTTTTTCTCACCTGCCGCGTAGGCGTGGATGATGTGATGGCCGGGGGGCGCCAGCGATGGGTCGAGGAGAGTCGGAAGAGACACTGCGATCATGTTTTGCTCCCCGAGCGTGTCGTTCCACCGGTTCACGACCGTGTAATGAGGCTGTTCCACGAGCCCAAACACAAAAAATACCCGGGAAACCAAAAGCACGTGTTGTTCAAGATTTTTTAGGGGATCAGACGCACAAGCGTGGTCGGTGGGGGGGGGGCGAATGCCGCCCGGTTTGATGTCGAGTCATTCGCCGCAGGGGTAGGGATTAGTCACCACCGCACGGAAGGAAGACACGCACGTAGGTTCGGTTTGGGTGCATACGGCAAGACGCGGGGGGGGACTCGCCTGCTACTCGCCTACGGCCCCCATATAACTGACCAAGCACTCCGCTTCTTCGCGGAGCATAATTCTTTTTCGCCTGCATGAGACACTCCACGTTCCGCGTGCGTGCTCTCGACATTTTCGGCAATCTCTTTTCGGTAGTTTTAGTTTTTACCCGCCGGTTGCGAGTTCAAGTCCTTCTCGATTTCTGACAAGCCCAGATACCCAACCTGGAAGCTCAACGATCTCATTGTAGTAGAGGAGGGGGGCGGGGTCGGCCGGAAACCACCCATCATAAAACGATTTGGCCCGGGCACCAACCGGGGCATGGGGTTAGGTCGCTCACGTCTGTTCCTGGCGGCAGGTCTCCCTCGATGCCGAGATGAAGGTGCATGAACGACATCGTCTTCGGGGTGTCCTCGGCCTCCTGCCTTCTCTCGCAACGTGCAGCACAGCGCAGCGCAGCAAAGGACAGCGCGGCACAGCACACCACCGGTGAGGGGCGGACGGACGACGTGCAGCGACGACAGCAACGACGATACTTGGCAACTTCTCAAGAAAACCCACAGGAGGCGAAGGTCACGACGTCAAGCGCCCCCAAGTTTCGACTTCGATCCCCACAATTCAGCGGCAGCAGCAGCAGCAGCAGCAGCAGCAGCAGCAGCAGCTGAGGCTGCGCTGTCATGCTCAGTCCACACACGAGCGCGCGCGAAAGCGCATGTACCTCTTCCTCATCAAACCAAAAAATCCCGACTTACCTCTTCTCGTCGGGAATGGTTCCCTCCGGCAAGAGCTTGGCCGCGGCCCACCGGTCGGCGTTCATCACCACCGCCTTCCTGGCCCGAATGCTCCGGCCTCTCCCTCTCGACCCCGCACCCCTCCCTCTCACCCGAACGCCGACTGCTTTCTTGTCTTCCACCAAGACCTTGAAAAGCCACGAAGCCACGACACGTCAGACGGACGCGCGATTACGAATAGAAGTAGGTACTGCGTTGCATGTAGTCGATGGTGTAAGTACGCCAGCAAGCGATCGGTGGAGCTGGAGGGACGGAACGAGGCAGCCAGAAAAGCTCCGGAGTCATGCAAAACAGGACTGCGCATTTTTCACTTTTCCCAAACGTGCGAGATTTCGCCCCCCAACATTGCACCCCGCTACAGTAGCAGCACGCTGTACTCCTCTGTGTACTCTCCGTTTGTAACCCTTCAAAGCTCGAAAGTCCCGCCGCGAAAGGCCTACAAACGGAGCCGAGCGGCGGCGAGCGCAACTAGCTTGCCTGTTCGACGTGGGTGCCCAGGCGGAGCTTCCCCCCATTCTTCTCTAGCCCGCGAACCAGGGCGCTCACGATGGCACCGCTCCCGCCGATGGGATAATCTGCACACCGGGCAAGGAGGCACGTGAGGCTACATCAGCATTTTCATGTCATGCCATATTATACTATTTTTACTAGTAATCGACTGGCGAAATCGTCGTCATCGTTTTATTGTCTCTTGGCTGATATGATGAACAGTGCAAACCGACCCCCACTGCGCCGAGAAGGCGACGGCAAATTGGCAGTGACTTGCAAAAACACGCACACCATTCACACTCACTCCTGAGGCGGGATGGCTGAGACAGAGAAACTCACCCATTGAGCGAACGCGCAAACGCGAAAAATGATTTAGAAACATAGAGATCAACGGCAGGGGGGGGCAATGAATTGTACACTGCACGAGTCGCGCTGCAGTGCTGCTTTCGTTCGGTGGCGGGGTCTCAATAACCCCTCTCGCACAGGCTTTTGTTGGGCTGGATCGTCCAGACAAGAACCGCTGCATGCCCAAGCGGCGCAGTAGGTGCGCCGCTCTCGACGGTGTCTGGCCGCTCTTAAGACGGTGCGATACTGCACGCATTTTGTCTTAGAGTAAGCCGCGCTTGGTTGGAGGTGACTGGGCACGAATCAGCCAGCCAGTGTTGACCAAACAACCGTGAGTAAGACCACCCCGTTTGTTTCAGGCCCCTTCGATCCCTCGGATTCGACGAACTGGCAGCAGCGAGTGAGGAGTAAAAAACCGTTTTCTCAACAGTGAAAAACGGTTTTTGTCAGAAAGAAACGTGGGGAACATGATACCGCCTCTACGGAGCAGATCGCTCCCTTCGCAGAGAGCACAAAAGCACTTTCGTCACTTTGTCACAAGGGAAACATAAAAAAAACACCGCTACATACAGTTGAGAACAGCTTCACAAAAAGAACAAAAAAATGGTTCTTTAGGCAGCGAGAAATGGACATCAAGAGAGCGCAAAAATAGCGGAAGGAGTTCACCCCCACAGGTCTCAAGGTTCTTCGGGAGTGTGACCGGGTACCATTTGGCCAATAGGTGCATTGCTGCGAAGGCTTGTGAAATCATGTAGTTCGAAAGAAAGGAAACGCCGAAGACCAAAGGGTGTCAAGCTGGTCACCAGGAGGGTGTGATGATGTTCAGGCTATCTGCGTAGGAAACGCCTGCTTTTCGTGCACAAGCAACGACAACAACAACAACAACGACAACAACAACAACAATAACAACAACAACAACAACAACAACAACAACAACAACAACAACAACAACAACAACAACAACAACAACAACAACAACAACAACAACAACAACAACAACAACAACAACAGCAGCAGCAGCAACTGAGGAGGCGGTCTATTCAGCAGCAGCTTCGTCTTCACCTAGTTTGGCGCCCTCTCTGTGGAGGTCGGCCATGACGTACGCCATGGCGGCGCAGCTCGTCCCCTCTGCCTTCAGCCCCGACAGCGAAAACGCCAGCAGATCTAACCAGTTAAACAAGAAGCTGCTCCCATAAAAAGACAAGACGAGGAGGGAGAGTTGCGGGCGCAAGGAACTTGTTGTTGTTGTTGTTGTTGTTGTTGTTGTTGTTGTTGTTGTTGTTGTTGTTGTTGTTGTTGTCTTCGCATAACAGTACCGTTCCAATCTCTGCTCAGTGCCGAACACCCGAAATGCTCCAACTGATGCGGACGCCACGTCGTTCGAAAAGAAAATCGAGACGAGCAACAATTCGTGACCGATCGACAGGCAGGGTTTAGCGCAGCTCAAGGAAACAATAAAGAAAGCTTAGCCGTGAACCAGACCACACAAGCAGGCTCCGATTCCAGCAGACTCACAAAAAGGTCATCCGACCAAAGACCCGCAACGAGACGGGCGGCATCATCGTATCGCACTCCTCGTACAGCCTCTCAGCGTGTCCCTGGGTACTGCCGCACCCACGGCCACTTCCCGACCGCCAAGCAGCAGACAGTCTATCGCCGACGTCGGGCGGCCACGACACGAGGCATGGTCGACATAACCTCCAGCTGCGGTCAGGGTGGTGTCAACTAATTGCCGAGTCTCACCTGTCGGTCACCGGATCTTTCGGACGAAAAGGACCGTTGAGCTCGTCCGCCAACGGTATTACCCTCAGCAGGCCCGGCAGAAATCTGCCATGACGGAAGAAAGGTTGCCACGAGGTGGCGGCGGCGGGACGTGTGGATAACTGTTATAGGCGTCGCCGAGTGTTTGAAGCGGCACCAGCATGGCAATCGCGAAGGAAGGCTAGACAGACGAAAAAAAAAACGTGAAAGCGAATGCTGCGGTGCAACGTCAACCAAGCATGCGCGCGCACACACACGCCCCTTTCCACGCCCCCCCGTGTCCGGGGAGCACGCGGACGAGAAATCGTGTTCAAGTTTTTTCTTATCCCGCTGTCTTTGTACTAGACTGGTGTTTCATGCATTGGTCAGGCGGATAGCACGGTCGATCAACAACGGAGAAGTGCAAGGAAGAGGGAGAGCGTCCGCTCAATCGTCCACACAGGACGGACGGCGACGTACCGTACCCGGGATCTTGTCGTTTCGTTCCACCTGTTTTTTCCCAGGCACCGTCCCGAAGGCTTTAATAACCTCGGATTCCTCGGCTTAACATCGGTTTATCCTCGGCTTAACCTCGGCTTCCTCGACAGAAACTCGGTTTGAATTTGAACTCAGGGATGACTCTGATAAAACTCGCTTTAAAGTCGGATAAAACTCGGGAAATACGACTAAAGCCGGAAGGAAAAAGGCTGATCTGAGCAAGGTAACCTCTTTCGTAAGGACAACTGCCTGTCGGGGCGACCCCGAACGAGGCACAGCCGGCTGAACAAACCGACCTGCGCGTGGAGACCTCTTAAGAAACAATCGTTTCCAGCCAGGCGACGCTAACGAGACACAGCTGGCTGTAGCAAACCGACCTGAGCATGGTGACCGCGGCCCACTTGTCGCTCCTGAGAGACAGCGACGGTAGGGCCGACGCTGCTTCCATGAGCGGCTGGCACTCCGCCAACAGCCTGTCGAACTGCTGCGCTGAGTCCGGCCCGCCTAACCGTTTCAGCACGTCGTCTCGAAACGAGTCGGGCCCTACGACATCACCACCGACATCACCACCGACAGCAGCAGCAGCAGCAGCAGCAGCAGCAGCAGCGCAAGATCACAAAAAAACGGAGCCAGCAATCGACGAAACACCGACCTATGGTATGGTATGCGTGGAGGACAAACGTCAGCGATGATGCAATGTATTATTCCTTTTCGATGCGACGGCGGTTGAAATTGCCGCTGCAAAGCGCATCCAACCAGTGCAGTAGGCAACACACAAAGGGCCGCAGACAGAACTCATGCAAGAGAACATACACGAACGCGACCGAGCGACAAGACATACGGGGTCGATTTTCACGAGGCTGCGAAACGGGGGCTCCGCGGGTTCAAGAAACAAGACGGGCACCCACCAAGATCAAACTTGAAGTACCCCGAGGGGGTGAGGTTACCCCAGCCGTCGTACCGAATGCAAGGAAGCTCCTCTTCCAGTACGTTGAGAACCTGCTCTTTGACGAGAGAAAAGAGAGCGAGAGTGGGTGTGGGTGACCCGTAAGATCAATGCTGGGCGACAGCAGTGCACCCCCCCTCCCCCCCCCGAGCGCGTGAAATCGGCCAAGAAGCCGGAACGATACAAAACAATTGCTCTCCTTGGAAGCCGGCGTAACTGCTTGTCCATTTTCCTGATGTCGTGCTTTCAACGCCCAAGCTGTAGTCTACATGGGGCACGGACAACCCAGGAGAGGAGTACTGATTGGTGCAAACAGGGCAGGCGGCGGAAACTTGAGTTCGAGTTCTGCGGACCTTGTGATGACCCGCCAACATTGCTGACTGCGAGGCTATTTTTTGCAGGCGCCGGGCGCGGACGAAGGGAATGACAAACATGCATGGCAAAGATAAAAAAGGGCACAGACATATATTGGTAAGCCACGGACAAGTCTTAGATAACACCAACGCCCTCACACCACATCCGACAAAAGATGAAGGTACAAGAGCTTCACCACCGAAAGCGAAGCGGCAACAACAGCCGCTCAACAGCCAGCAACAACACCACCCAACAGCAGCGGCGAAGAACAACCCACGCCTCCCCACCTGCTTGAGCGGGTTCGGAACGGGTCCCGTGAACCCGCTGAAGATGGACGGGCCGCTGTCGAACTTGTAACCGTCCCGCTCGAAGGAATGCGCGCAGCCCCCCGGAATGGTGTGGCTCTCGCACACCGTCACATCGAGTCCGTACTTTCGTTTTTCGGATGCACAACAAGCAAGAACAGACGGGGGAGAACAGAGAAAAAACAATATTTGAAATAATCCCGTGCTTCTTCCGCCAAGGCAAAAAATGCTTTCGAGTCCGAGTTGTGAGATCCACACGCTCGAAAGACGAAACGTTCCTCGCGCCGTTCTTAATGATGCCCACAAGAATCTCCGACACGCGCAACGATCGTCCCGTCAGAGCGAAAGCGCGCGTGGATGGAAATGGTAGGCTAGCATACGCGGGTGCCGCCGCGACTACCGGCTTCAGAATTCTCCAGTCTCCCCCGTAAGTCACAAATAGCTGAATATATCCTATGTACATTTAATCGGTCATTGCCTGTACGAGAACGTGAAGGTCGTCAACCCCCTCTCAAGACTGTTGGTGATAAACAAGGCGGCTCGAAGATGGAGTTGAATGACAGGCAACGGAGCTGTAAACGAGAAGGGGAGAGGCCCGAAGTGTAAGTGGTGTATGAGCATGGGGGGCATGCTAGAGCATCGCCCAGCAACGCGGTCTTCGTACCGGCCGACGTCTGGTAACCTTTTTTGAGACAAGGAACGCGGGGTGAAACCGCCAGCGTCTCAAAAGACGTGTCTTCGCCACGAGAGCCGGTAACAACTGAAAAAACACCATCGTTCGAAAAAAAAAAACACGACCGTCGTATACATAGAATGCCCTCTATCCAACAAAAAAGTAACACCACCCTATTGTTTACAAGCTTATCTACAAGCCAGCATTGCACTACACACTTCATGCCGCGTCTCACCTGGGCCAACAGCGCCGCGCACGTGAGGCCACCGATGCCGGCCCCAATCACCTGCCAGAGCGAAACGGGTACACTGTTCCGTTATATTTTGTCGTTTCTTCCCCCGACGCGTCATCCCCGTGTCTGTTTCTAGACCAAACCAGATAATATTTTCAACGTGCATCCCCAGCCCAAAAAAAATATTGCCGCCAGAAGGAGCTCTCGGATCAAGGCCAATGACACCTCCTCGTCGGCCCACGGCTACCAGCGAGCCAACAGCTACCCCGTTATGGCGACATCTTCTGCGCCTGAGAAGCAGCAGCCTACCCCAGGCCAACGCCACGGGCATCCCCTTTCCTCCTTCAGCAGTACGCCACTGACTCACCACCACATCAACCTCCCCCTCCTCCTCCTCCTCCTCCTTGACTCCTTCTCCTCCAGCTCCTCCGACGCCAGCCGCCCTTAGCACGAGACCCTCCGCAGGACGCCGACACGATGGTATCCTCTCACGCCTACCGTCGTCAGCGGGCCCCCCGTGGTCCCCTCTCACCCTCCCGACCCGGCTTTGTCGGCCGAACGCCCCGCTTCGGGCACCAGCAGCGCTGCTGCTGCTGCTGCTGCGAGAATGAGAGGACGGTGACGTTCAGCAGAGGGAGCATTGTTGGCGCAACACTGCGAGAAAGGCTTGTACGGCTATAGCTTTCTTCTGTCGAATCGCGTACAGTTCGACCACAGCGAGCGGTGGTCAACAATTGACCAAAGCGGCACGCGGTCACCGTTCACTCCGACGCGCAACCGCGTGGGCACGCCAACCGAAACCACACACCGAGAGAGGCCAAATAAACACAGCCGACATCGCCGCGGAGTACCTGGCTGATGTAGACGGACACGGAAACGGGACGAATGACAGACACCCTCGCCCCGCGAAGACCAACAAGGCGAGGAACACGAGCGAGTTCCGCCCCGCGGTGCATGGGCCGAAACTCATTGCCGTGGCCTTGGCATCTGCCCTGGCCGAGCGCATCTCGAAATTGGCGGGCTCGCGTTCTCAGGTTATTGTCTGGTATGGGCCAGTTTGTTGTCCCCCCGCTCACAAGAGGTGAACGGACGTTTGCTGTACATGTGGAGCAAACAGCAAACGTGAAACAATTGTCAGGTACCGATGGGTTTGAGGTCGCAACAGATTCTGTCGAAACTAAAACTTGCCGTCGTGTGCCGAGAGATAGGTGATAGGCGGTGTACCATACTAGGTATTGCGGGCTTTTGGCAAGCAAAGAAGTCGCAGCCAAACACGACCGCTGACGATCGCGCTTTGGCGACCAAAAACAACCACCTTTGCACGATTAGTCTACGGGGAGAAATCCGCGATGCAACAGTATTCTAGCGACGAAACAGGAGAACATGAGGTCGGATTGTCCGTCGCGGCACTCTAAAAGGTGACCGTTGTGTGGCGGATGATATTCAAACAGAGTGCCGAAACAAAAGAACAGAGTGGTCGATACAGTTCCTGATGCCCGTGCAGATCGCATCAAACAACGGTGTCAACCGTGTTCCGTCATGAATAATAGCTACTTCATGTTCTAGAGGGAAGTGCACAGAGTGAATCTAGACTGGCCTACATCTATGCGCAGATCGGTAGCGATTTTCAAAGAACGTAACAATTGCTTACACATCGAATTCGCGTGTAGAATGTAGAATGGGGGGTTGGGAAACCGAGGGCCGTCGGCACAATTCCGGACAACAAGGGAAACAACACAGAGTTCGGACACAAATATTGCACCGCATGCCGCAGCGAGATTATCATATTTTTCAGATCATGATAGGACCACCTTGTGTGTTGATCTTCCTTTCGCCACAACACATACATATCAGCGGAGGTAGTCGTGCACGCCTGGTATGAGCTGTTTGGGCGAGGTGTCAAACAGCAGGCCGTATCTGATATGCTGCCACCCGCTGACGTACTCCAACGATGGTTACTGGTACTTGCGCCAGGGATTGCTCACGTGACCGGTGTGCCTGTGCGACGGCTTGCTCTTGTTCTTGTGCAGGACAGGGAAGCGAGATACCGAGAGAGGCAGTCAGGAAGATAGGCAGAGGGCAGAGATACAGCCGTAGCACCAACACCGAGGCATGTGAAGATCACCCCTGTTTGATTGTGTTGGGTTCAAATGAGGACCTTGAGGACATCAGCATGGAGGGGGTTTGATATGGTGCGATTTCCGTTGTGGGTATGATGATTTCACGAACCCCCCGGAAAGTGGGACCATATCGGCAGGTCAGGTGCACACCAAGCAGACACCAGACACAGCAGGAAGATCGTGTGGCCCTATCACAGATTTCGGACAGATTCCCCCCTTTTCTCTGCCGGCTTCTTTGCTGCGCCCGTACCGTGTCTCTGTGCAATTCTCTGCCTGAAAGATAGTGCACGCGTGTGTGCTACACGTGCCACCAAAAACATCATGTCGCGAGGGTCCGCGGCTACATGCAGCACGATGATGAAGGGGATCCAGGCGTTGGTGTGGCTCGCTTCGCTTGTGATGCAGTGCCATGCCTTCGTGGTGCCAACGCTGCCGGTGTGGGGCAAAGACTCCGGCGCGGTGGCAACCTCAAACAGCGCTTCGTCTCCACCAAGCGCCAGGAGGGCGAGAATGGAGATGAAGAGCTGCGACCGTGCTGGCTTCATTCGCGAAGGTGCCGCTTTTGTGGGATTTCTTGGCGTCGCGTTGCTCTTGTTGTTTCGTTCTCGCTTCTGTCGAGTCTTTGCATTGCCTCTGCCTAGTAGCATCGACGCAATACCTCAAGTCGTAGAAAATTCTTCTCTGCCTTCGTGTCAACTTCTCTACAATAGTAGCTGTAGACTGCTTGCACATTGTTGACCCTCTGTCTACTGCTGTGCTCAGAAACTTGGCGGCGCTGCTCTACTAAAGTCTGCTGCAAAACGAACTCAGGCAGGCCGTTGTAGTTGGCAATGGATATCTCCCGCCCTTCTGGACTGATTTTGAAAGCTCGATTACTCGGCAGGAACAGCATTGACGGTGCCGATAATGGCGACGTTGGAACGGCCTCGTTGAGAGCTTTTCGAAAATGCATCATCGGCATCCTCTTCATTATGGAGTTTATTCGAGTTTTTGAAAATCGGTCCTGGGGGTGTGGTATCTTGGGCAATCTCGGTGCGCCCTGTGCACGAATGTACAGACCGGACCTAACTTTCCGATGATGCATTGGATGATGATGGAGAAAAGAGTAGATGACATTCACGGGCCTATGCACATGAGTGTTGTTGACTTGCAAATGCTATCACGCGGTTCTTTTTTGGATGAATAAGTTGTTGCACGCAAGTACATTAACATACAGCAGTAGAAAAGAGTGTGAAATTGCTATCACGGCGGTGCCTTTGGGCGTGTTTTCTTGTTGGTATTGCACGCATGCAGCCCACAAAATCATGGCACCGTTATACTAGGTATGGGGAGGTAATGGGCCGCGCGGTGCGACTCAGTACCTTGCAGTACTCTTTCTGCGATACTGTGCGAAGTTGCACACTGTTGATGGAGACAGCGATGTAAAAAGGCGATTGAAGAAGAGAAACCTGCCAGTAAGCGACACTCTCGAACACTAAACCGACGCAGGGACCTGCGACATTTGTGACCGTGATGCCACTGGTCCAGGTTTTTGGCTTGTGGATGCGTTTGCATGGCGAAGACTAGGTTACCTTTACCTTCCTTTCCTGTCCATCCTCTTTGGCGCTGTTGCGAGCTGTACATACATGTGTCCATATCATATCCGCAATGTGTGTGTCTTACGAACTCGGAAGGGTGTCTCCTCTCTCTTTCGCGGTCGCGCACACATCACCCTGTCGCAACGTTTCAACCCGGTCGTGTCGCAAGCTATCAGTTGGTGGTGTCGACGTATGTGAAGCGCGGGCGGAAGCGTGCGCGGGCCTCAAGCGGCCAGACTCGTACAGCAGCGCAGCTCGTGGATCGATCAGAACAACACAACACGCCTCGACGTAGCTCAATACGCAAAGTCCTTGATATACCACCTATACGCTGCGCCAGGCAACCACACACACGCAGAGACATTTATACTCTTCATAGTTTTCCTGGCACGCAGCGAGATGTTCCGGGCAAAAACAGGAGATGCGAATGTATTGCTGTGACGAAAGTATTGTTCGGATCGTTCTGGTCTCGTCCACTTCGTCAACCCAATACACAACTTTCAATACGGTCATAGGCTATCCAGCCTTTCGCCTATGGCTTCGTCCATCTCTTCCTCGTCATATTCCGCCATCATTTCCATGTCATGTGCATTTCCGCCTCTACAACGCCCTCCCTCGCTTCCAGTCTGCAAGATCCCGTCCAAATGCTCGAGGCTCTCCTGGGCACTCATCGAGTTCAGGCGGGCCTGTTCTATGGCGCGCAACCTGTCTTATCTCCTGTTGCTGTTGCTGCTGAAGGGCATGTTCCATCCCGCGCAACCTGAATATCGACTGTTGCTGTCGCTGATAACTCGCGTCAATCCTCGGATGATCTTCCCGGTTCTCTGTCCTCTCACCCGCTGGTGGTCAATGTGTGGATAGGGCGCCGCCGCCTGGGATCGGCGTGCACCCACGCTGCCCTCCCTTGCAGATGCTGTGTTGTCCTCCCGGGGATAGCTGCGTTGTTCTCCTCGCGCTGAAGTTGTGTTATCCTCCCGGCGGTAACTATTCTGTGTTGTTTTCCTTACCGCGTGTGTGTTCGGGTGCAACAATCTCCGGTACGTCGGACGTTTTCCCTCTCCACAACTCCCAGGGGATGGGGTGAGCGATCTCCCACGAATTTTGGGCACATACGCCTGTGTAGCACGGCCATCTGTTGCCGAAGCACGACCAAACCGGTGTGACGAAGAGCGCGCTATTTTTCTTCTTCCTCAGAAGCGAAGAGATCGTGAATGGGTGCCCTATAGATCTCGTTCCGGGTCCAAAGGTGTGGGCTATAGTAAGGCTTCCCAGAAATCAAGTTTTGGGGCCCGTGTATCGCAAGGCGCAACTTTAGCCCATATTTAGAGCCTGTTGTTTCCCTCCTGAGACGGAGGGGAAAGGACGCTCGCGCTTTGCGCTCCGCGGCTCATTGTTATACTGTCGGGCGGGGCGGCCGCGATATCATTGGCGCCATCTGAATCAACTTCGGGGCATTCCGTTCCGGGGCATTTGTTCTCGTGTCGCAGAAAAAGGTATTGCTTTTCAAAGTAGAAGACAAGCAATGCACAGCTGTCCAGTCGCTCGACACGACCAACTGTCGTGAAGATCACTTCTGTAAGTATTTGACGGTCGTTCACGGTTCTTTGGAAATACGTATTAATTCCCAGAAATACTGTTCACTACAAGGCGGTGGATCTTTCGCGATCACGCTTATTGGTAGACATAATCATTTCCGAAGTCGTGCGTCGTTGGCTGTGACAAATGACGCCCATACGCCAGCCAGCCTTTCATTCATTTTTGCGTTTTCCACAGGAGGAAATCTGGCCGTGGACTCAGCACAGCTGCCCCGTTGCCGAGCTGACGTCTTTCCTTGCGCATGTCCTCCGCGCCCTGTTTGTTGCTGTTTAGGCGTTCTGGGCGGAGCAGCCGCGATTGCGGTCCTGGGCTCGTCTAGCCCCGTGTCTGCCGCAGGTTTATTCACGAAGGACAGGGTGAGTCGTGCCAACCTCTACATACGTAGCTGCAGCAGTTGTTTCCGTAATCGTGACGTTTTCGGGGGACCTGTACGTAGATACTCCTACGCTGGGAGATTCCATGGGCGCCTCGCATCCGCCCGGCAGTACCCTTACGCCATAGATCACGATAGAGGTGGAAGGTGAGAGACAAGGTCTTGAGCGGGGGCGCTACCCCCAACACGTTTGCCTGCCAGACAGAAACATGGTAACGCGACACATTTGTACACACATGTGATGTGCCCACGACTCCCTTCAAGGCTAATTTACAACCCAATTAACACATGTCACGACGCCTCGTTTTCCCTGCGAAGATGGAGCTGGAACACGTTCCCCCGCGCACGGTGGTCGGCAAGACTCAGTCCATCAGCTGGGCGGACGTTGCTCCGAAGATCGCCGCGATGCGCGCCGAGGCTCGCGAGCACTTCGCGCAGACCCCCGGCGCCGAGGGCGGCCGCGAGCTTACCACGTTTTCCAACCAAACGCCTGAAGGCGTAGACGTCACTGTCGGTAAGGACTTCAGCCGTGGTGTTCGTTGTTTGTCACCGTAAAGGTTGTGTCTCATACATTCCACCATCCCTCCATCTCCCGAACCTCAGAAGAGGGCAAGGGTCGACTAAAAGCATCTGTATTTCCAGAGAGTGGGGGAAATCCACCACACGCATGGTTCCGTTAACTTTGCAGGCTTGCCATGCTTCATACATTGTGTGTGCCGTCGCATGAGAGTTGACTAGGCTACTACCTCCAGGTTACCTCGGTAAAATATCTTACGACCAACATCGCGAATTTTAATGGCCCCACCTCGCGGAGGTAGCGCATGCGGCAGGTGCAGTCTGTCGGGCCTGTGAGCCGATCCCGAGGGTTGTAGATCCCGCCCCCCCCCCCCCCCCCCCCCAACTGGAGGTAGCTCAAGCGCGCGCCCCCCTCTCCTGGACTACTCTCCGGCGGAGCCGTGGAATTTTGATTGTTGTGTGTTTTTTTGCATGGAAGAAAATGGTGCCGCACCGGGGCTTCTTTCTCGAGAAACCGTGCGCACTTTCGTTTTTTGCAGTGTTTCGCGGTGCAAACCTGCGGCCTCCTCGTGGCCCGGAGTTGTGTGGTACTGCTGTTGCACGAGGAGGTAGATTGCCGCAGTTGTACCGCACTGCTGTAGTCATGTGGTAAACCCTACGCAGTTATTTTTAATTTTTGGACGTGCACTCGGTATGTCGACGTACCCCCAAAAGACGCAAACGAAATGTAAAATCGTTCCCCTCTCGCCGATGACTGACCAAAAGGCTAAAAATCGGCGATTGGCTCTCATTGCACGGCCCCCAGGACTGGAGGTCAGCGACGCAAAGGGTTCTCCCGCAATCTCGAACGGTTTCACGGCCAGCGGAATCTCCCCGCCGGGGCAATACCTGCGGGACGACCACGACGGAAAGCCCGGCATGACTCCCTGGATCTCGTTCATGGCGAGGCTAGCGAAGGACGGGTACACCATGCAGGAGCCCTTGGCGATGTTCGAGGTCTACTCCGGGCAGGGAGGAGAGGAGTCGGTGACGATGTACACCGCCGTGAACGGCCCGGCCAAGTAGAGAAACGCCCGCGCCTCTTTTTGCAGGTTCTGGCGTCGCGGGGGCTTTTTAAGCTGAGCAGACGGAATTAGAACCGTCGCCTTAGTTGCTTAGCAGAACGAAAACTATCTTTTCGGGGGAGGATTAGAAACGGTCGCCTTGCAGTAGGTGTCCAAATATAGTGGCGGTTAAATAGTGCCAGAGTCCGACAAAGGGCCGGTAAATTATCTGGACTCCGCCAGAGGCTTCAATAGTGCCGAACCGGCACTATTGAGGGCTGCCCGCTATCGTGCCGGTTCAGGCAATATCGTACCCCTCAATAGTGCCGGTTCAGCCCACACACACAACCTTTTTTCGCCTCAAGGCCTTCCACACCAACAGGGTTCGTAGACGTTTTACCTTCGAGCTACAGGTTTAGCTCGTTTTCTGTCGGTACGAGCGCTCGTGACGGCTTGATATATCATGGTTTACCGATCGACCAAATTCCACCACAGCCAATTCAGCCAATACGCTGGGACTTCAGTAGTAGTGAGGCGGACGAAAAGGAGGATGGTAGTAGTGACAAAGGATGTGGGAAGGGAAGAATAGCGAAGGGTAGCAGTGATGATGGAGGAGGAGGACAATATGGCGTTGAAGGGATTATTATAGAGTTTCGAGCGAGATGACCTTCCCCACATCAAACGCGCAGGGGGCAGAGTCTAGAGATCAACGCCCGAAGTAGTGGAAATATTTGTGACGAGACTACTGTAATGTAAATGTGGTAAACACAAGGACCAGGAAGGATGAAAGCACTCCGAAACGAACGCGTGTGCAACGTAGTAGCCTTGGTATACAGCCACGTGCAGTTTTCTTCTGTTGCCACCGTTTCTGTCTTTGATCAGAAAACCTTTTAGCCTCCAAGAATCCTCATTTATTTCCTGATTTTTAACCGCACTGAGACTGACGTCTTTTCATTGGTCAGCCGGTTAGAGCGGTCGATGCTCATAATAAAAAAAACGAGAGACATCGACGCCATACACACGCCTCACACTACAAGGTGGAGGTACCCGTGCTGCTGCTGAAGATCCTACCAGCTCTACGCAGAGGCCCAGGGGGTAGGTCGGCATAGCTGCACGGTTTCAGCATGGCGTTTCTTTTTTTTGTGGTCGTTTTTCTCGCTTCCGAAGACTTGTTTTCTTTTCTCTATTTAGCTTTTTATCTTCGTTCATTTGGGTTGCATCTGCTTTTTTTGCTGTGCTCATGTAAGGAGCTCTACATCCGTTGTACCTCCAAACGGACATCGCGTGCATAGGGGTTAATCTTTCAATGTCGAGGGGTGACTTTGAGGTTGCCTGAATAGTGCTACGGCCTTCTTCCCACTACACTATATGAGTGCGAGGTGCCTTTTGATCGGGCAGCACGGTCTACCAGAGTGTGTGCGCTGAGGTGGGAAAGAGAACAATGGTGCAACAAATGTATCTGATCAAGGAAATCTTAGTGTGATCAAAGCCGTGTTTTCGACTGACTAGGAGCCTCCCGAAACTTCAAGAAGCCTGCCCACGTCGCCCACTGCACAGTTGATCTGTATACCGTTCGGTTGGTACTCTGTCAGCCCCGCAAGCGTAAGCGCTGCACTCTGACGTCGAACAGTCCTCAATAGTGCCAAGTCGGCACTATTGAGGGCCGGTGGCCGGTATAGTGTCGGTCTGCCCTCCTGGGCACATACCGGCACTATACCGGGACACCTACCGAGGTCTACTCCGGGCTGGGAGGAGAGGAGTCGGTGACGAAGTACGCCTCCGTTAGCAGCCCTGCAAAGTAGAACGCGCGCACCACTTTTTGCAGGTTTGGCGTCGTGGAGGCATTTAGCTGAGCAGACGGAGTTAGAACCGTCGCCTTCATTTTGACTAGCAGAATGAAAACGGTATTTCCTCGGGGGAGGATTTGAACCGTCGTCTTGCTCGTTCGGCTGCGTGCCTCCACACAACCCGTTTTGATTTTCAATTCAATTATGATCGTTTCCTGGTGAATGTACCGTCTAGGGGGAGAAGCAACCTCGACCACATTCGTCTTCACCCCTCTCGTGTCGTTGGGAACGCGTTTGGGACACTCATTCGGACAGCCTCTGTGGCTCCCACGCTCATGCCACCACCCATCTTGCATGACAATCTACACAGAGCGTTGCCACATTTTGTCGCTTACCCTCTATTTTACGTCGTATTTACAACAGTCGGAACCTTGTCAGTGCCACGGTTCCAAGCGACAAATCAACCCCTATGTCGCTTGTTTTGAGGGGCTCCACCCCCAAATCAAACCAACAGGTTGCTCTTACTTATTCCAGGCATCTCCGTAGAGTAAAATAGATAGCCCTTGATCCTATGCGCGCAAAAGGGATGCTTGTCCCTTCAGTCGTCCGTGTGGGCAAGAGAAATAAGATCGCATGTGCTTATCACGTCACACTCTCGAAGGCCCGTTTTTGACCTCATCCAACGTCGAAGCCTATCCTACGACTACAGCACCCTCACCCATTCTTTCGCCATCCCACCCCACAATCCCGCAACTCCTGGCAAGCATGACAAGAAAGAAGCCCCCCCGCCCCCGGCACGGTTTCCACCCGCCAAACAGAAGCGTTCTCCCCGACCAGTAGACGGGAAAACAAAATCGTCCTGGAAACGGAATTATACTCAAGAGGATTTGTCATGGGGCGCCCAGCAGATAGCGTCCTCCTTCATGTGGCGACGCGATCTCTGTGCCATTTTTTTTTAAGGCCCGGGGTAGTAGTGCTGGCAGGTTCCCGTCGTTTCAGCAGGCAACAGCCGAGCTGCAGATCAGCCAACCTCCCACGCAGGCAGAAAAAGAAGGAAGGCCGGGCTCAGCAGAAGACACTATTGGGCCGGCCCGGTGAGAGCGTCCCACTCCGACCAGAGTCCGAGCTCGTACTCCTCGCTGTCAGCATCATCCTCTTGCCCCCCACTCGCCGCCGCCGCCGCCTGGCGCGTCTCCACCAGCACCTGTCTTCGCGTTGCTGCGACTCTCGAGACCCGCGATCCGAGGTCCCTCACAAGTCTGTCTCCGTCCGGGCTCCTGTCCAGTGACAATTTGTCACAATCCCAGCACCCCAGGCAACGGACGGACAACGAACGGTAGACAAGGGAGTGGTTACGGAGTGGGTATCGCGACCACCTAGAAATGCCTCACTCAGCAAGAAACGGGCACAGGTGCGTGCGTGCGTGAATTTTTCTTTGTCCCAAGTGTTGAGTACTGTATATCACCAAAGAGGTGCAGCAGCGTGTCACCTGTTGCGCAGCTCCATCTACACGAAAGCAACCATCACGAACAACACACTTTACCTAGACGCCGCGAGGAGGGCCTCGATGCACGTCTCGAGAGCCGCGGCGGGGTCCTCTTCGTCCCCGGCAGCCAGCGCCTCCAGCCCAGCCACCAAGCCCAACACCGCCGGCCAAAGGGCCTCCGCGCGAGCACGTTCTGCCTCCGGCGAGCTGATGAGAGCCTGTTCGAAAAACAAAATCGCCGACCGTGTGCGAAGGGAACACAAGTCGAGGATGAGGGTAGAGACTGATGGGCGAGAACACGAGTTCGCCAAGAAGCAATCCACGGCTTGAGGCTTTTTCCCACTCTGTGGCCGAAGCGGCGGCCTTAAGATAGGCGTGCCGTGGGCCGCGGGATTACTGCATACGTTCAACACTGGAATTGAAGCGTACTACTTTGAAGCGTGAATGTGAAGCCTGCAAGGGCAGATTTGAAGAGGTCCTCATATTGGCAAAAAAAAGCCCTCCCCCGAAAAGCACCCTACTCTCCGGTTCCAGTCCCTCTCTATTGCCCACGCCAAGCGTGAAGGTCCACCATTTAGGGTGTGGGGAGAGGTGGTGACTCCGGCCAAAGCAGTTGCCGTAGCCTGAACCGGCTTGGTGTGCCCACAATCGCGGTCTTCGGCGCCACGCCACGTACATGGACAGCAAGACATCGAGGGAACGCCAAACTTCGACAAGCGAGGTTCCACATCCAATGCACCTCTCACACCCGGCTCCCTCGTCAACCACGGTTCCCCGCGCGTCGTCAGGCGCCTCCCGATAAAAACGCCTCCCTCCACGAACGGTTTGCATGCCCGCGTAACCCGGTTCCACCACCATCTTCTGCAACAAAAATGGACACTCACCTTCAAAACGAATGCAGCCTTGCTCCGAAGCTTGCTGCTCTCCCCTGCCGTCCCCGTGGCACCCCCGGTCCCCTCCCCGGCCTGCGACAGCGCCTGCGCTAGGAACTCCCGGAAGCCCGGCTCCAGGCACAGGGCATCCTCCACCGGCGCGAGGCCCATGACGGAGGAGCTCAGGGCGTGCAAGATCGCTCGTTGCAGCGGCAGCGACAGCGACGGCGCCGAAGGCGGGGACGCGTCGCTTGCATCCCCGGGTGTTTCAGGGGAGGCGGTGTTGTTCGGTGAGGTGGCTGCTGCTGCCGCCACCTGCGCTGCCACAACTTCGATGAGTGCTTTATGCCCTCTGGACGACGAAAAGGCCGCCTGCGGGGAGGTGGGACAGCGGGGGCGGGAAAGGAAGGTCAAAGCCGTGTGTGGAGCGCGGTCTCGGTGTGAACGGAGGCGAGCAAGCACCCCCCTTCTGGAGACAACAAAAGTGATCGTGCTGCATGTACGTATGTCAATACACAGCGTATCCTCCCGAAAGGCTTGGCGAAACTACTCCGAAGCCCTCGCGACGACCACCGCGTTCTCGCGACGCCCGTACAGGCCAACGCGGACATTGAGGTACTGCAAGCGAGCAAGGAGCCGTGGTCTGTTTGTTCGGCATGGAAAACAAGCACCTTGGCTCGTGTGCGATGCGCGAACTTCTACAAAATACTGGCTGGTCGTTGTTTCCTAGGCGTCCACGTCTTCCCCTCCTCCTCATGGCTTGAATCGAAACGAAAATTGTGAGTTTGTTCTCATGAGGTACGCGGACGATTCCATAGCCTCTTCGTTGGTCGCGGCGGGATAATCGTCCCTTTTACCTTTTCTTTTTCGCTCTGAAACAAAAGGAAAAATAACTGGAACCAAGAAAACAAGTCGAACTTGCAATGTTCGTCGCACCTGGGCAGGTGGATTGTTCTTGGTCAGGGTTGCGATCAAGGATGCCGCCCGAAGACGCAGCTGCAGGAGTTGTTGCGCCCGCGTCAGAGTAGGAGAACGAGAGAGAGAGAGAGAAAGAGAGAGAGAGAAAGAGAGAGAGAGAAAGAGAGAGAGAGAAAGAGAGAGAGATCGTTAGAGAAAGAGAGTCATGCACAGAGAAAGCGAAAACAAAAAAATATGAACTTGCGGCAAGATACAAGACAAGTCATGCCGAGACAATCTGTTTCTACCTTGCAGTCATGCCACCAAAAAGGTGGGGGGGGCGTGCTACATGTGTAAGGGTGTCCTGTGTGTAGCAACTGAATTTGAACAACGAGTTCTTCCAAAATTCACACAGGAATGTCCGTCAAAATTAGTAGGGGCAAGAGACGCACCAGTACATTCTCGCACCTTTTCGGGCCTGCGTGAGGGGGTCACAAGGGCAAGGAGTCTCCCGAACCCGCCGATCTTGGCGAAAGTTGCGGCCATATCAATTTGCTCCACAACGTCTTGGAGCTCCTGTACAGGGCAAACGAGAAAATGTCATGAGACAAGTCAACATCTTTCACCATATCCAGCCTATGAAGGAAATACGACTACTCACCTGCACAACCGGCGCTGTGGGGAACGCATTCGCTCTCGAGAATGTGTTCCTCAGACGAAGTATCCAATCAACACGCGCCGGGTGACCACGATTCTGGTCCTGATTGGTACAGGTGTTCGTGTACTACTATGCCTTGTTCTGCCTCATACTTCCTCATACTCCCTGTTATTTTCGGCCTGGTCCCTCTTTGTCCTCGCCCTTTTTCATTTTATTTTCATTTATTTTCTCTTCTCCTTACGGTTTCCATTTGTATTTTTTTCTCCTTTTTTTTCTCTATGTTCTTTTTTTTTTTCTCTCTTTTTTTCTCTCTTTTTCTGTGCCAGATGGCCTTGTCTCTGCTTGCGTTGTGAAGTACCAAGATTGAACCAAGGGAGTGTACCTCTTTCTCTCCGGCCCATGATAGATAGTGACTGCTAATCTCAGTTGATACCCCGCATAGCGCGAAGAGGGAGCGGAGGATCCCAGAATATCTGTCGTTGATTTCTATTGACTTGCGGACCCCTCGGGGCCAGTTTATTTGAGTGTACCTTTTTAGGGTAAGTTAACCTGTGACCACGGGAATCGACCGCGTCGAGTGTTGGATCAGTACGGACATACGAAGGTACTGGGTAGAGAGAGATCGGAACGGTTTTTAATGTGAAGATAACAACAACAACAACAACAATGCAGGACTGACGGGAAGAAAGGCAACCCCCAACACTGCAGCAAATGCAACCAAAAATAAGACCTCCACAACCAGTATTTGAGAAGAGAGCGTTGCCCCATTCCAAAGCGACAACACAACGGAGATGCATACAGACATGGCACAAGAGAGACAACAAGCACCCGAAGCTCACGATCACCACCTCTAGATCGTCCAGAACGCCCGCTTCCAGCGCCTTGAGCTCCTCCGCGGTGCAGCCCCCTTCCCCGACCCCGCCGCTCGTTGCCCCTCCCGCCGCCGCCGCTGCGGCCGCCGTCTGGCCCACGGGCGGAGAGGTGAATGAAGGGGCGGCGACTGTAAAGGTCGACAGAGCCCCCTCCCCGCCAGCGGCCGTCGCAGGCACGGCTCCCGTCGCAGAAGCGGAGGCATCCGTGTCCGGTGGCGGCGGCTGTGGTGGAACGAAGTCACTCGGGGCCCCTGATCCAATGCCGACAGTCCCGGCTGTCGTCATTGCGCCGCCTGCTCCGCTGACGGCGGTGCTTCCTTCTCCTTCTGCGGTGGGGTCTTCACCGCCGGCTAGTCGGTGAGGGCAAGAGGGAAGAGCAGGAGCCGGGTTGGAGGCAGCCCGGTCGAGGTAGACGCAGAGGCGGGAGTAGATGTCCGTCATGGTCTTGAAGTCGTCGCGGATGCCCTCGCTCACGACCTTCTCCAGCCAGGCCCGGTCCTGCGGCACAAGGCGCGAGAGGTGTCACGGACACGTCGGTCAGGCAGGGGTCGAAGTTCTGACAAAACGTTTGGGTTGGCGTGGTATCTGTTGGGTGAAGTATCGTGGCGTGGGGGCGGACAGTAGGTCTGCCGTGGAAAGCAACATGTGTCTAAAATACGAAATCGTTTCCCTCGTGTTTCATTCTTTTTTGCCGCGCTAGCTTCGCTGACCAATGAGGACGCGTCCAGCAATCGCGTGGGAGGGGGGCACAATATGGGGATGAGAGGGGACACTCACAGTCGTGCATGGGGGTATCTGGAAGCCTCGATGCTTCTAGAAGTACATGTAAGACGGAATGCTCCTTGGAAAGCATAGAACCTCTGAGGCACGACATAGCATCATCCACTTGGCAACCAGTAGGTGTGCTTTGTATCGTGTCCCCCAAACGGATACGCAGTCCGTGTGTGACTACACAGCAGTAGTAAACCCAACCTCTGGGTCTTGTATGCATACTTGGGAGAGATTGAACCACTACAGAGAGCGACAACAAAGGCCCACAGCGAACCCTCCTCAAAAGTCAACCAATGGGGCACACGAATTCATCTGGGGAGGACCGTCGCCAGCAACATACTGGTAATTGTATTGGGAGCTGACGAGGAGCCAGTCCCTAGCGACGCGTTTGATCTTACTCCAGACCAGTGCCGTGCCGTCTGTTGGCTTCCTGCGTCTCAAGTCTCAAGGTGGAGAAATGCAAGTGCATAAAGTATTGTTTAAGGAAAACGCCAGACATAAAACAGGAGTACACACCTCATCTCCCATGGGGCGAGCGTCTGAAGGTTCTGTTCCATCTTGGTGGCTCAGGGTCCATTTCAGGAGCCCAAGCCACGCGTCGGGTCCCTCGCCGGATGCCATTGTTGCGTGTGTGGCGCCAAGCGGTGAAATCGTGTCCTGTGGATCTCTTTTCCCTGCAACACTTATAGGCTGAAATTCTTCTTCCAGGACCTCTCTTCCGCCGCAAGACCCTTCGATAAGTTGTCGTAAATGTCTAGCTGTGGAATGCCGGAGTGCTTTATTGTGGGAGTAGGGCGGAGGGCGGAGTTGAGGCGAGAGGCCAGAGGGCTTCTAGAAATGCGGTGGAATTACAGCGGGGCGCGGAGCGGGGAGCGGGGAACGAGTCAACGAGTCTCCGAAAAATAAAATAAAATGCGGCGGAACCAGCTCTACGAGCTCAGAGCCAAGAGCCAAGAGCAGGCCTGCATCATCGCCTACCCTGCTAACTGCCTGTGCACCGGAGAGTGGCTACAACGCAGACTCCACGCGCTGCGTCCCTGCTGGTTAAGCCTTCTCACAATCGAAGGAAGCTCTGGACTATTGGATAGTAGGGCGTGGGCAAGAGCACATCGGCTGTCTTTTTTGGTGAGTGGCGAGGTGTGTTGGCGTGTCATGCTTTTGGGTGGCGGGAGAGAGAGCGCGCCAGGCAATCGCCTGGCCTCCGCGTACAGCAGAAACCTTCAAGGTCTGGGCAGGGAGATTCTCCACCGGCGTAGGCGCGACCAAACGACCACGGCATCATCGTGGGAGTGTTTTCGCTGTTGCACAGGTGGTGGCACCGGCTCCCTGGCAGCATCCGCACCGGCGTATGCTGTCACGCTCCACTGCCAATGGCGGAGGCCTTGGTACTGTTGTAGTGTGCAAACGTTGACCCGCGGCCTTGACGGCGCCACCTTGTCACCGGCGCCAGGCATGCAGTTGCTGGCCACCCCCCGCAGCGAACCTCCCGTGATCAAGCCTAGTCGGTGTATATATCGATGTACCCGAAAGCGTGTCATGGTGATACAGGCCAAGGGTCCCACCCTTCTCTTAGTGTCCATGCTGTGAGGGCAACGAAACGCCCACTCCGAAAAACGGTGGTGTGTTTCGTGTGTTGGTGGGGATTCTGTGGGACACAGCACTGACGTCCAGATGCGTAGACCTGAGCGGGATTCCACGAAAAGTTATGCCATTCGCCTGTTGAGATAGGCAATCGCCTCTGCTGTCTGTCGGCTGCGTTTCGCCATCACCGCGAGCGTACAAAGTTTAATATTTCCTTGTAATACGTATCCTCCACGTGAAATCCTCTCCCGCGGTATATCTACCATACAGCAGATCCTCGTTTTTCACAGCAGTTCAGAGACGGGTGGATGATGAGTCAAGTTCAACGAGTGTCATCTTCCCAAGACTCAAGTTGAGCACAACAAGGGACAAGTGTTATCGGGAGCACATCATTTTTTATTTTCAGTGTGAAGACAACAACAGCCGCAGCAACAACAACAACACCCCGGAAAACATTCCGGGTTTCCCCCCAAGACGTTGCACTGCTGTACACAGGGTTGACCGTTCGGCCACCGAACCAGGCTCAACACGATTTTTTTCGCTTAATATCTGCAAACCTGTTGGCTCTCCGCCCCCGCGCTCGATCTCCGACAGCAGTGAAGCGAGGCCGGCACCATGGTGGTGTACAATTTCAAGAAGATGGCATCGGTGCCTCCGGCGGAAGACCTGATCGACATCATCCTTACCCGCACGCAGGTACTGCCCTTCGAGGGATGGATGGGCGTAGACAGCAGCGGTAGCTTGGTTGGCGCTGATGTCGTCATCGTCGTCGTCTTGGTTTTTTCATGTTGTTGGTGCTAGTGATGGGGTGCAATCATTGTTGTTGGTGACGGATGAGATGGTGTCAGCTCCGCCCGCCTTTTGCTACTGCTGCTTGTCGAATCACCACATGTTTTGCCTTGGTTACAAAGGTGTGGGTGTGGCCTAGCCTACTATAATAGTCGTTTGCTCGGCTCGTTCAACATTCGATCCCCCCCGTCGATCAACACACCAGTATCGTGCACCTACGTTCATGCGTCGAAACCGCGAACCACTGGACGACTTTGCCACAAGCTCAGCAGTTTTTGTGCACCCAAGCATCCCCCCGAGTCCCTGTTATTCAACACTCTCCCCCCGCCTCTTCTTTTTCGCCTTCCATTCTCTACAACTCCGCGTCTGTGGAACTCGTTCTCTGTGAATCTGCTTCTTTTCCAGCGCAAAACGCCGACAGTGATTCACCCAGGCTACAAGATCAGCCGGATCAGGTCCTTCTACATGCGGAAGGTCAAGTTCACGCAGGAGACGATTAGCGAGAGGCTCGGCGCTATCATCGGGGACTTCCCGCGCCTTGACGTGAGTCACCGGCCTTCTTTTGGACTTGGCTTCTCTCTCGCGGGGTCGAAATGGAGAGGGTTATGCCTCGTGACGCGGTCACCGACAGTTTGTCTTGCCCTCCGCAGCTGACGCAAGCCTTACCTGCAATATTGGCAACGAATAGCGTCCAACTAGTCCTCGAATGCTTTATCTTTGTCAATATCTTCTTCATTTGCAACAACTGCTCCTGGAACACTTGCTCTCATGCCCTCTTGAATACTTTGTCTTGACACTTGCTATCACGTTGTTGTCTATTTCGTGCAGGACATCCACCCGTTTTACGCAGACCTGCTCAACATCTTGTACGATCGCGACCACTACAAGCTGGCGCTGGGGCAGATGAACATGGCCAAGAAGCTTGTCGAAGCTCTGAGCCGCGACTACGTGCGACTCCTGAAGTACGGTGAGCGGCCGCAGTCGTTACTGATCTTTTTTCTTTTTGTGTCGTTTCATTGTGTTGGTTTTTGCTCTTTGCAGGACTGTTCGCGGTAAAACACCCACGCGAATCGTCGTTGCTACCCCCCCCCACAGCGTATTGCTCTGTCCCGTCAATGCAGGGATGCGAGGTGAATGGCGTACCGACTACGGCATGCGTTTACATGAGCACACACACGCCCGCCGCGTGCCCCCCCCCCCCCCCCCCTTGGGGCCTTTTTAAAAAAAGGGGAATTCCTTTTCCGGGGGAAAAAGCTCAAGGGGGGGGGGCTCGGAACCATGTGCCCCCTTCTTAAAAAAAAAAAAGGCCCCCTCTCGTACCTGGGGGGGGGGGGGCGAAACCTCCCCCGCCCCCCCCCCCTCCAACCCAAAAAAAGGACCCCCCTTCCCCCCGGTTTCCCCCAGGGGGGGAAATCCCGCTTTTTAAAAAAGGGCCCTTCTCCGCAGAAACCATTGGGGGGGGGGGAAAAAGGGCCGGAAATGTAAATAGGGAGAATTTTTTTTTTGGGGGGTTTTTTGGGGGGGGGGGGGAATACGAAGAAAAACTTTTTTTTTTTTTTCCCCGGGGGGGGAAAAAAACAC